AAAGGTGTGATAGACTCTTGTCTCGAGAGCTTGTTGTACAAAAATTATTGTTTCTATTTTCTTGATAAAAACTTGTGAAACCTCTGTCTGACCTAAAATATGAGACAAAGAGTACCTGCCATGTAACCCCCCACTGTTATGTAACTCTTCCCACTGAGTATAAATTTCAAAGAATTTCTAGACCCAGGGTTCTGAGATTTTTAGGTATTAGCCCCTTTGGACTGCTGTCGCTTAAATAAACCTACTTCCTGAAAATTTCTTGGGTGTCCAGCCTCATCTATCTTACATGAGTCACAGTCAGGATTTAGAACATTTTAAAATGTTTCCTCAGCATTTCATTTATTCTGTTATTCTGTTGTTAGTTAATCCGTACCTCTGTGGGCAATGACCTTGCAATTTTCTATCATCGGATTATTTTTAAACTCCAGTAACTAAAATCATGGTATTCTTTTCTTTCATTTCATACACTGCTTATGTTATTCATCCCTGAGGTTGTGTGGGTTGGTGTTCACACTGTTTATTGCTGAATAGTTCCTTTGTGTACACTCTTTGCCCATCCACCTATCCATGGTTTTGAGTTGTTTCTAGCTTATGATTGTTGTGAAGAAAGCTGCATGAATATTTGTTTGTATTCTTTGCATGTTTTCCAGTGAGGTTGTATTACATCCAGCAGTAGTGTATGGGAGTTTCAGTCATTCTACATCGTGGTTAATGTTTGGTGTCATCAGGTCTATTAAGCATTCTACAGGGTATGAAGTAGTAGCTCATTGTGATTTTACTTAGTATTTCCTGATGACTAATGTACCTTTTCATAAGCTTGTTGACTATTCCTGTGTTTTGCATGTCTTCATAGTTTTTGTCTAGTTTTAAAATTTATTATTGACTTGTATGAGTTCTTCACATGTTTTTGCCAAATATGTTACATTTTTCCTTCCCTTATCTATGGCTTGCCTTTTAATTTTCTTAAGTGTTTCTTTTGATGAGTAAATGATTTCATTTTGATCAAGTTAATTTTCTCTCTTATGAATTAGTGCTTTTTAAATCCTGCCTAAGAATCTTTGCCTATTACAAGAACTTTTGATACATTTTCTTCTAGAATTATTATAGTTTAACTTTTATGTGTAGGTCTGTGAACCTATTCAAGTTAATTTGGGGATATAATGGAAGTAAGGGTCAGGTTTCATTTTTTTCTCAACAAACATTCAGTTGTACCAGCACCACTTATTAAAAGGCCCACTAGATTGCCAAATGATTGTATTTATGGATCTATTTCTTGACATATTATGTTCTGTTTTCTTTTTGTCTCTCTGTAAACTAATACTTGCAGTATCTTTAATACTGTAGTTATACTGTAAGTTCTTAAAATCTGGTAGTTTGGATTCTCTAACTTCATTCTTTTTCAAGACTGCTGGCATTCTAGGGCCTTTTCATTTCCATATAAATTTTAGAATGAGCATAACATTTCCATTTCTCCAAAATGTCTGGTATTTTAAATGATATTGCAGAATCTATAAATAAAAGTGGAAAAAATGAATATTTTAACATTGTTGAGTCTTCTCAACTGTGGACATGGAATATCTCTTCATTTATTTAGGCTTTTTTATTTCTTTAAGCTGCATTTTGTAGTTTTCAGAATACAGATTTTATGCATTTTTGTTAAGTTTATTCACAGGTGTTTAATATTTTTGATGGTACTTTTTTAAAAGTATATGTTTTTTTAGTTGTAGATGGACATAATACCTTTATTTTATTTTTATGTGGTGCTGGGGATTGAGCCCAGTGCTTCACATGTTCACTCTACCACTGAGCTACAACCGCCAACCCTTTTTGATGGTACTTTGAGTGGTATTTTAAGATTTTATTTTCTGTTTGCTAATGTATAGGTACATTAGTGTTTGTCTATTGACATCATAACTAGAATGTACTTGTTGTAATTGTGAAAATGTACTTGTTGGTTCTAGCTTCTTATAGATTCTTTTAAATTTTCTATGTAAATAATCGTTTCATCTGCAAATGAAAATTTTTTTCTCTTTTTCCAATCTGTGTGCCCTTCATATTCCCCTTCTTGCCCCCACCCATTTCTTTTGTCTTGTCATTAAGCTAGGTCCTATAATACAATTTAAGAAGCTGGTGGATGTCTTATTTTCAGAGTTAGAGGAAGAGATGTTCAGTATTTCACTTATGATTGGTGTTAGCTTTAAGTTTTTTGACAATTGTCTTTTATCAGATAAAAAAATTCACTTCTGTTTCTGGTTTTCTTGAATGTGTTTATTATAAATTAATGTTATTTATTTATTTATTTTTAAATTTTGGGGATCAAACCAGGGCCTCATACACAGTCTACCATTGAGCTACACCCTCAGCCCTGGGCATTACATTAAAAAAATTTTTTTAAAAAAATTCTGGGCATTAAATTTTATCAAATGCTTTTTCTATATTTATAGAGATGATTATATAGCTTTATACTTTATTTTGCTCATGTAAATTTCATTTATTGATTTTTTTTGTATTCTTGGAATAAATCCCACTTGGTTATGATATATTATATACATATTTTGAAAATTTGTCTGAGATTTTATTTGGGAATATTTCATTTAAACTTCTGTATCTGTGCTCAATGAAAGATTATTGAACTATAATTTTTTCTTCCTACAATGTGCATATCTGATTTTATCAATTTGAGTTGGGAAATATTTCCCCATTTCTATCTTCTGAATGATTTTGTGCAATGTTGATATTATTTTTTCCTTAAATATTTGGTAAATATTTCACCAGTGAAAGTATGTGGGTCTGGAGTTTTCTTCGTAGGAAGGTTTTTAATTATAGCTTTACTTTCTGTAATTGCTAAGAAGGACTCTTCTTTTTCTGTTTCTTCCATTGTCAAGTGGGTTTTTCTTCTTCTTCTTTTTTATTTTTTGGTATTGGGGATTAAACCCTGGTGTGCTTAACCACTAAGCCATATCCCCAGCCCTTTTTATTTTTCATATTGTTCAGTCTTGCTGAATTGCTTAGGGCCTCACTAAGTAGCTGAGGCTACCCTTAACCTTAGATCCTCTTGCCTCAATCTTTCAAGACGCTAGGATTATAGGCAAATTGCTGGGGTTACAGGTGTGCACCACCACACCTGGCTTCCTTTGTCACTTTTAATGAATAGTAGATAAAATAGAATTTATCCATTTTTATGTAAAATTTCTAATTTATTATTATAAAATATTTATGATCTTACCTAGTGATCTTAATTTCTGTAGTATTTGTAATGATGTGTCCTTTTAATTCTTTGTTTTGGTAATTGATTTCCTTTTAATTCTTTTTTTTTTGGTATTTAATTTTGGTGGAGATTTAATGATTTTGTCAAATTTTTTTTTTATAAAATCAACTTTTGGCCTTGTTCATTTTCTCTTGAATGTCTCTTTTCTATTTTACTTGTCTCTGTTATTAAATCCTTCCTTGTTTGTATTTAATTGCTGTTCATTTCCTAGAAACTCATAATATTGATTTTAATCTATTAAAATTTTCCTTCTAGGGACTGTTTTGGCAAACTCCCATGAAATCATTCAACTCACTATTTTCTAATTTTTACTATGATTTGATCAGTTGGGTAAATACTATTTGTTTTTCTGTCTTTTTCACTCTTTGTGCTTCAGTTTAGATATTTTCTGTTGACCTGCTTTCAAGTTTACTACTACCATCTTTTGCTATCTCTTATTATATCCATCCAACTTAGATAAACTATTTTGTAATGATAGAGTGTTCATTGTTTTTTTAAATGGATGTAAAGTTTTCTTTCATAATGTACTTTTTCATCCATTTATCTGTGTTTCCTCTAACATATTTATCATAGTTCTTTAAAATGGTGCTTTTTGGATCACTTCTGATCTACTGCTATTGAATATTTTATCTCTTTGCTAATGGCTATTTTTTCTTGCTTCTTTGCATGTCTAGTAATTTTTAAATATGTGTTGAACATTGTTGACAAAATATAGAAGTTGCAAATTATCTTCCTTTGAAATATATTGAATTTTATTAGGACAGTTAAATTGCTAGCTCTTCATCTTTTTTCTATCAAGATCTGGTAGTGTTCTCTTAGGTTGTTCTATTTAATTTTGTTAACATGTATCCAGTGTGGTCCATTTTCCTAATGTGTGATCTTTGTGGAATTTCACTGGAATGTCCATGGTCTTCATGAATGCCTCTCTGCTTTGATTGGGCACAAACACTGATGACATTGTAGCATTGACCTTTGAAATCTCAATTTACTAGGGTCTCTTTCCTACCAGGTAGTCTGTGGTTTTCTTTGATTTTTCAACCTAGAGATGGTCACAAATGGATGAGAATTTCTGAGCAAATTTCTGGGTTTCCTTCTCATGACTTACACATGCCAAGCACCCTAGCCTCTGTCCTAGCTACCCTGTTTGGATTTGAATTTAATACCCTATTCCCAGAAAATGCTTCCAAGGTACAATCTTGGGGGAACACTGACTGGATCATTTCATGTGCCTCTTCTCTCTCAGAGATCTCAGTTTTGTATTGATTACACTCCAGTGCCTACAACAAATTTGTCCAGATTTTAAAGTTATTTACCACTGGAGAATAAAACTTGCATAAGCTTTTCTCCATGACCAGAACCCGAAGTCTTGCCATTTCCTTTTGTAGACATATCAACTACATTAAAAAAAATTTTTTTAGTTGTAGATGTACACATTACCTTATTTTATTTTATTTAATTTGTGTGATGCTGAGGATCAATCCCAGTGCCTAATACGTTCCAGGCAAGCAGTCTACCACCGAACCACAACTCCAGCCCCTCAACTACCTTTTAAGTTAGATTTTTTTTACTTCAAGTTTTATTCTAGAAGAAACATTTTGGTTTGATTATGGTTATGGTGGAAGCTTCATATTTCAGAAAAAATAAGTGTTAATTGGGAAAACAGCACATGTCAGTCCATTTATTATACATAAATTGATATGTTAATTATCTGTTGTGTTTTTTATATTTCCAGGAATCATCTGTTACAGTTTGCTTTAGAATCACCACCCATATCTCCTGCTTCTTCCTCTTCTAAGAAACTTGCTGTCAAAGTACATACTCCTGGAGGTTACCGACATTCTTTAAAGCAGGGGAGCAGATTAATGGACAATTTCTTGGTTAGAGAAAATAATGGTTCTATATCAGAGTTGTCAATGAAAGAAAATGACATTAAATTTAGCCCACAGAAAGAGGCAAGCACTTCTCTGGAGACCAAAGCAGCATGTTTTATGGGAAAGACAGCCCTTGGCTTCTCAGATACTAATTGTCATGAGATACCCTCTACGTCCACTTTGAAGCAAGTTTCTAAAGGTAGGAAATTATTTTTTATGTGTATTTTCTTATTTAGTGGAAATATTCTCATTCATATGACAGAAGAATAAATAGACAGCAGTTTTTAGGGGGAAGGATTGAGAAGATATAAACCAGATTTTACTTTATCACAATCTCAGAGATTGATGTAGTGGGTACTTTTATTTATATTTGTTTTTTCTTTCTCATAGAGTAGAAATTCAGCCTGATTTCTTAAAAACAACAATAACAACTAACAATTACAAAAAAGAAAGAAACAATTTAATTAGTTCATTCTTCAGCCTCATAGTAACTTTGTTTCTTAGTTTTAAATCCCCACCCCCATTTAACATACTAGTTTCAATTTAATCTCTAAGAGCTGTTTTTGTCTTATACCATTGTTTGAATACCTGTCTCCATGATGTTTTGCCTGTCATTTAAAGCCTTTGATGATTTGGTTTCTACTCTCTCTTAGAAACCCATTTCAAGCCAAGCCGATCTCCTCGTTCTTCCTCCAATATAGCCAGGGATTGGCAAACTGCATTTCCAAGACCAAATCTACCTTGTCACCTATTTCTGTAAATAAAGGTTTACCGGAACACAGCCATGTCTATTTGTTTACAGATTGACTGCTTTTATGCTTCAGTGAACGAGTTGCATACTGGTGACAAAGGTCATACTGACTTGGAAAGCCTTAATTCTTTACTACCTAGCCTTTGCTAAGAGTGTTTGGAGACCCCTGTTTGGAGACCTTTTTAAACTGTCCAGATTCTAAACTACTCATTGATTAGGGTTAGACAACATCTGTATCTCACAGCCCTGAAAACACTTTTTTTCCAGCCATTTTGTTTACTGTTTGCTTATCTGTTTGGTGAATATATTGCTTTGTTTAACCTTTGTTTTCTATGTTTTTTCTTACCAGTGAAATTTGGAGCACCTTTTAGGCAGAAATAGTCTTAGACATCTTCAGTAAACCTATGCCACCCACAGTGCAAGGCTGTTAGTGTTTTTTAATGTTAGATAAATTAGAATTAATTTATTAGTTGATTAATTTATTTCTTAAGGGAATATAAATTTCACTTAAATTTCCTAGTATGTTTTATCCTCAGTCTTTTTTACCAGTTGTTCTTACTGTATTTTTTTTAAGCTTGATTGCTAATTTAGTTTTTCCTTCACAGAACCTTTTTTCCAAATGAAATCTTATAATGAAGCATAACATAAAATTGTCCATGCTCTATTAAAAGTAAGGACAGAGGACCTAGAAATTGTGCTGCTCTGTTACAACATTACCTTCCCTGCTTTAGTCCACTGTATCCATAATGGCTTCTAAGTCTTGAGATTCCTTCACAGATCCTTTCAACTCCATGAAGCAACTTGAGAATGATTGTATTTAATAATTTTAACATTACATACGGAATTATAAATGAGAAGTAAATTAGCAAATTTGTAAGCACTGTCAAAATTGTATAGTATTTGATCTTATCCAGTAAATGCATTAATCCAACTGTACTTACCTGCTCACTTGCCCAAGGCCAGTTATGTCTTCCTGTAGTTGATGTTTATTGCTTCTGTGCTAACCAGGGATGCTCCTAAGGATTGGGAAAAACAGAAGATTTGTTTTATAGTTTGGTCATTCTTTGGTAGAAAAGATTTAATGAAAGCTTTTCCTTTTTTGGTTCTGAGGATTGAAACTGGAGTACCTTACCACTAAACTATATCCCCAGTTTTTTTTCCTTTTTATTTCTTATTTTGAGAGAGGATCTTGTGAAGTTGCTAAGACTGGCCTGAACTTCTGCCTCAACCTCCCCAGTTGCTTGTATGATAGGTGTATGCCACTGTGCCTAACAACCAGAGCATTTTCTAATAAACCAATTTCCAGCCTATGTGCAGTCTCTAAGCCTGGGTTTCTGATTTGTGACTTCCCACAATGTAGTTCTTTCCCATTAACGAGTCTGTCCTGCTGATGTTGCCCTCTTGGGTCATTCCTTTTGTCTTTTGCTTTTGTAAGTTCATGTTAAATTGGGATTATGTTTTTTTTTTTTTTTATCTTAATTGCTGAAAGAACCAGCATATATATTTTTACCCTTTCTACAGATAGTAAATTCTGTGTTTCTCTTTTTAAAAATACAGTGGATTGCCCTGTTTGCGGAGTTAGCATTCTAGAAAACCACATCAATAAACACTTAGACAGCTGTTTATCACGTGAAGAGAAGAAGGAAAGCCTCAGAAGGTAAGAAAGTTGAGCATAACCCAAGCTACTTTAGTTATGTGCTTTTTGTGGTTCATAAACCTGAAGAAACAATTCATATTCATTTCATCCCAGTGACCAGTTGTATTCTCCCTCCCATTATTCTTTAATTCTGTTGATCAGATCTCCATCCTTCTCCTTTTGTTCCTCCCTGAGTTCCTACTTTGCCAAATATAGTTATTTTGAATATGTAGCTACTGAATTTTTTACTTGAGAAATTAGTAACTTAAAATTCATTTCTTTTTAATCTCTTTTCTTTTAGACTTTTAGAACTCCATAAAATCCTATGATTAAAACAAGTAAGGCTAAACTTTGAACATTGAACACATGAAGTCTTTCTTATTCTTTTTTTTTTTTTTTGGTCCTTAGGATGCTTAAAAGTTGTAGAAATTTACATCAAGCCTTTTTAAAAATTTATTTTTGGATCAGGCATTTATGTACACATGTGAAAATGAGTATGTGTGAAACATGATGTCCTCCCCTCCAATCTGCCCAGTTGACAAACTAGTAAGTTGTCAGCTCAGTATTTGTACCCAACTACTATGCTATTCTGCCTCCTTTATATCAAAGTAACAGTAATTTCTTAAACTAGTCCACTACTTTCACACATATAAGTTATTTAAGAATAAAATTTTAATTGAAGTTAAATTGCAGGATATTAAGAAACCAGTGGCTGATGAAGATAATGAGGAAGTAGAAGCTGCAAATTAGATGAGTCTGGTGATGAAGGGAACAAGAGCAATGAGATGGTAGTTGAGAGAAAGAGTGAACAGCAAGATCAAGGGATGATTCTTTTAAAAATAGAAGTTATTTAAATCTTTAGTCTCTTTGCTTCCACTGTCTCCAGGGAGAGAACAGATGATAAATGGAACAAAGTGGTGAGTACTAAAGATCAAGAGTCTAGTAATGAAGTTATCCTGGGCCTTGTAAAACGTCTCTTTGGAAACTTTTAGGAAGAAAGGCAGAGAAAATAGGTGTAATTTAGTGAGCTTTGAAAAGATGGAGAAGGATACAATGATTGGTAAGAAGTTGGGATGAATAGAATGATGGGCCCTTAAGTTTGATCTGTTTTGAAGGACTTGGAAGAGTATTTTCCAAACACCACATTAATAAGGTAGGGCCATCTTACTACTTTTTATAATAGAAGTAAAAAAAATGTGTCACTTAATTTTCAAATTTGGAGTGAATGCAGGTTCTGGGGGAAAGTTATATATTATAACTTTATATTATAAATATAAAGTTATATTTCTCTAAGTTATAACTTAACACTAGGTATCATAAAGTTCAGTGGTGTTTTGTTAATTTACAGTGGGGGGGCAAACATAAGACAATCTGTGTGCACAGATTGTTAGTGAGGTTGCTTAGTTAGTGAGGATTTATGAGACTGGACAGTCCCATGGATTGTTTTCTATAAGCCATGAGAGTCTAATGACCTTTTTTAGAAGTGTTTCTTCCTAAAGAATGAGTATAGAAGCTGAGGATTTTCTCTTTAAAGAGTGAGGAATCAACATTGATAATTCTGTTTGAACTCCTCTTTTTCTAGATGCATCTATCATATTCATTTATGTCTACCTCTGTCAATTTATGGAAAGATGGGCTTATCCATGTGTAATTAGTGGTTTCAGATTCTGCTCCACAGAATCCTGGAGTCCTGTCAGTTGGTCCATAGTACAACTTAGAAGCACTGTGTATTGCATTACCCTCTTAGTGTACTGAGGCTGCTGAAAGTCCTACCTTATAGATAATTTCTGGGTTTTATCCTCATAACTCACATCTTACAAAATTGGTCATACACACTTATGGGAGCATTTAGCTGCATCTGTCTTTACTTCCTGTCCTGGGGTTTTGTCACATAGAGGAGTCTCTGCTTATTTTTCAGTTTCATCCTCTGCACCCAGATTATCTCCCAGATATGAATGACAACCCTTAACTCATTCTATATAAAATCATCTCCTGGTTGATTCAAAGACTATACCTTTTCATATCCTCAGATTCTGAGATCTTTAAGTGCATTACTCAGTTTTATCAAGTCATAGAAGAAGTATTAATGTCATTTTCATGTTTGAGGAAACATTTATCATGTTTTATATTTTAAAATTCTAGATAGAAATAGTTGATCTCTGGTGGTGCTTTTTATTGTAAATTCCAGTGAATAGTACAATTTATTATTATAATTTCATTGTTATAAATTAGACATTTATCTTTGATAAAATAAGTGTTTTAGATAGGAATCAATGTGAATTATTCCTTCATGATGCTTGTTATAAATGCCTGTAAAATGATTCATCTGTTGCTACTTACTGTGATATAGTTAAGTAGTTATCTCTGGCTTTTAGATTTTATTAATAGAGCATAAAAGAGATGGTTTAGTCAGGAAATGGCACTATTGGTTCATAAAGACATCTGTGGTTATTTTTGTATTTTTGACTGTAATATTTCTCTTAAGTGTGACCTTTGCACTATGTGTACCAGGTGGGTCTGGGGGAACCTTGCTGAAAGTATAGACTTTAAACTTCCACTTCAGACCTGAACCACATGAGTAGTTGTTGCAAAGGGGATTGAGAATCTGCATTTTAACCAAGCCCTCCTTCCAGGGGAATCTGAGGGAGGCACAACTTTTGTGAACTAGTTCTATGCAGATCCTTTGTAAACTCTTGCTTTTTGGATAAACCAGTTACTCTCAAGCTCCGATTAATTTTTACCCGAACCTTTTCTGTTCTCATTTTGAAATGACTGCGGTTATAATAACCACTTCAAAAACATACTAAGCACCTAATTACCATCAAGCTGAATGAGGGGCTGTACTCAGGGAGTCATGCTATAATCAGATAAAATGGATTAAAACTCACTAAGGAGTTCCTGTTCATGAAGATTGTCTCAAGTCAAGATCAATGTTTGTAGGCAAGCTTGAATTCTAGTCTATTTTAAGAAATAATGTTTTCTTTTGGGGAAAAGAGTAGGAGAAGGTAATATAACATGGCTTTGTTATACTTAAAATTATTATCAGTGTATTTATTATGTAAATAGATTGAAAAATGAAAAGCCAGATGGTAATTTTCCTAATGCATTTTTTATAAGGCCTTATTTGTTTATTAACATAAATACTTGAAGAGGACAGAAGCTTGTTTTTTTTTTTTTTAATCATTGTTTTTCTTTGTGTTCTTTGAAGATTATTGCTCACTGTCCATCTTTCTGAATTCGTTTTTCAGTGGCAGTAATGAGCTGAGTAAAGTTGACAGTTCCCCTTTTATTTATCTAGTCTCTTTCAAAACAATTGTTTAATATTTGAGGGGCACGTTTGTCTGTTGATCAGAACGTTTTCTGGAGAAGCTATTTGTAATAATAAATCCTTATACCCACGGTCTAACTCTCAATAGTGTTTATATTATATTTGACATAATTGTTTTTTATAGGAACTTTGCATGGAAACCATGGGTAAATTTTAGGAAAAGCATGCTTTAAAGAGAATTGATCAGGCCTACATAAGTGTGATTCTAAGTGAAATTCTCATAACATTGAGTCCATAAACCTTCCATATAAGCTTTCTGAGTCTTCGTCTTTAGACCTGACCTCTTTCTGAGTCCTAAGTCTTACTTCAGGAGCTGCCTGGATTTCTCTATCTGAACATTGCTGGCACCTCAGAGGCACCATTGTCAAACACCCTCAACTTTTCCACAAACTAAATTCTTCTCTTTCCCCTCATTATTGTAATGTCTCTACTGTTCTCCCAGTCACCCATGTGTTGAGTCAGAAGATAAATTATTGTTTTACATGAAAGCATTTGATAATTCACAGTAATCCTCAGGGAACTTTTTTTTTCCTTTGCCTTTTCAGTTTTGTTAACAAAAGGAAGCCACTGCCCAAAACGGTGTATAACTTGCTCTCTGATCGTGATTTAAAGAAAAAACTAAAACAACATGGATTGTCTACTCAAGGAAATAGACAGCAGCTTATTAAAAGGCATCAAGAATTTGTACATATGTACAATGCCCAATGTGATGCTTTGCATCCTAAATCAGGTAAAGTAGTAAAATAATGAGTTATGCTTATCATCTGTATAAAACACTTCTGTGTAGCTTAGAGATTACAAACCATAGAGAAAAAATTTTAGTGAGTACATTTTTGGTAATAGATAAGATATGCAAATTTATTCCTTCAAATGATACCTAGAGATTACTACAATAAGCCAGCCTTTTTCTCAGCCTGTCTCCTAATCCCCAAGTCACCATTCTCAGAGACAGCACTGTTACCAGGTTCTTAGGCATTTTTCAGATAGCATGGTGGTCAAGAGTGGATCTGCCGGAGATACTGGGCTACTGTCCCAGTTCTTCGGCTCTGTGGCTGGGTGACTGTGGGCAAATTACTTGCTATCTCTGTACCTCAGTTTTCTTATCCATAAAAGAATCGTTATGATACTATATATCCCCTCCTGTGTGTCTCATTTTGGATATTCACTTGCGTCCTTTAAAATACCCTTTATAATAAACTAGTAAATGTGTTTCTCTGAGTTCTGTGAGCTGCTCTAGCAAATAATCAAACTTGAGGAAGTGTTACCAGATCCAAGCCTGCCTGCCTGTTACTAGAAAAACAATACTGGGGAAAGGAGAGCTGGTGGGAAAGGAATCAGGTTTTTTCAAGAGCTGGCACCCTGAGAAAATGGGGGAGCTATCATGCTCCAAAGAAGCCCATGTTAGGGAACTCATTTATGCAAAAAGAGATGGAAAGGAGGTACAGGAGGCATTCTGGGCGGGGTCTTTGTCATCTAGGGCATGTTGTCAACCTCAGTCTAGTCTGACTGCAACATGGCTATCTTGACTTCTGAGTCTAGTTTGTATAATTCTTTAGGTAAACATATTACTTTTTGCAAGTTAAACTTCACAGAAAACCTATATGCTTTGTATTAATTGCTGCATAGGACTAAAGAATAAGAAGAGTTAAACATTAGGATGTAATCTGAAGGTCACTAGATGTTCTAGGTTCTGTAAATCTAAAGAAAGATTATTTAGCAGGTAACCTTTTAATCACTTTGGGGTGGCTTTCCTTTAGACTTTAGGATGCTGAGCAAAGGGAAGCGAATCAAAAGTAAGTCTGCCAAGGACAACTGGCAGAGGGACAGCATTATCACTGTCACAACTGGATTGTACAAACCCTGGTTAGTCAAAAACACTAGTGAACAACCTGTGGCTTATGATTGGCATTGGAAACATACAAGAGACAATCTTGTGGGACAGAGCCCTTGTCTCGTGGGATCTGATGCTCTTTCAAGGTAGATAATAAGGAAATTGAATTGAGCATATAGCTGGTATCTTTTGAAGAATTGCTTGCTTGCATGGTATATGAGGGGAAATCGCCACACATCTTGTTTCAGAAGTATGAGAGTATAGTGTGAGAGACTAAGTTTCTTTTTTCTTTATTTTATTTTGTAGATGGACAGCATGCCTTTATTTAATTTTTTATGCAGTGAACTCAGTGCTTCACATATGCTAGGCAAGTGCTCTGCCTCGAGCTACAGCCCTAGCCCCTGAGTTACTTTTTCTGCTGTACACAGACAAAAACAAACAAACAAACAACAACAACAACAAAAAACCTTTTATTTTTCATCATTATCTAATTTGCCATATGCATCTTTAACTTATTATAGTCTACCTTCAAATAATATATTACTTCATGTGTAAGGGACGCATCCTACAACTTCCATTCTTTTTATTATTGTCATAGATTTTTCTTCTATTTATGTTAAAAACTCCTTAATACCTTTTGCTTTAAGCTGTCACTTTTTTTTTAGATAAAATAAAAAGTAATTGGACATTGTGGCACATTTCTATAATCCCAGCTGCTTGGGGGGCTGAGGAACAGGATTGTAAGTTCAAGGCTAGCCAGGGCAATTTAGCACAACCTGTCTCAAAATAAGAGATAAAAAGGTATAGGGATATAGTTCAGTAGCAAGTGTGTGAGTCCGTGGGTTCAGTCCTGGTCCTTAAAAAAAAAAAAAAAAAGTCTACCTACATATTTATCATTTCTAGCATTCTGCATATCTTTTGTAGATTTAGACTTCCATCCACTGTCATTTTTTTTTTTCCCTGAAAAACTTAGTCACTATTTCTTGTAATGCACATATATTGTTGAGACAGATTCTCTCAGCTTTTGTTTGTCTGAAATGGTCTTAATTTTGCATTCTTTTTTTTTTAAGAGTGTGTGTGTGTGTGTGTGTGTGTGTGTGTGTGTGTGTGTGTGTGTGAAATGCTCTACCACTGAGCTACATCCCCAGCCCTTTTTTATTTTGAGATAGGGTTTTGCTAAGTTGCCCAGGCTGGCCTTGAACTTGTGATGTGATCTTCCTTAGCTTCTGAAGTAGCTGGGACTGTAGACATGTGCTTAAAAATTATTTTGTTCAGAAATGATATTGAATTTGTAGGAAAGCTGAAAGGGTATCATAAAGAACATATGTATACCCTTTATACAAAATGCCCCACTTGCTCTTTACTTATAGTTTCTATCTCTTTTTCTCTGTTGGTATGTGTGTGGGTGTGCATATATTCACACATACTTTTATCTTCTTAATTAATTAATTTTATTTAGGTATATATGACAGTAGAATGCATTTTGATTCATTGTATACAATTGTAGCACAACTTCTCATTTTTCTGGTTGTACACGATGTAATGATGTAACGTTACACCACATGTACAGTCATACATGTACCCAGGGTAATGATGTCCATCTCATTCCACCATCTTTCCTGCCCCCATGCCTCCTCCCCACTCCTCCCTCCCCTTTGCCCAATCCGAGTTCCTCTATTTTTCCCATCCCCCCCATTATAGATCAGCAGCCTTAAATCAGAGAGAATATTTAGCCTTTTTTGGGGGGGGGGTGGATTGACAACTTTATTTAGCAAGATATTCTACAACTCTATCCATTTACCTGCAAATGCCATAATTTTATTTTCTTTTAATGCTGGGTGATATTCCATTTTGTATATATACCACAGTTTCTTTATCCATTCATCTATTGACAGGCATCTAGATTGCTTCCACAGTTTAGCTGTTGTGAGTTGAGCTTCTGTAAATGTTGATGTGGCTGCCTTACTAGAGTATACTGATTTTAAGTCCTTTAGGTGTAGACTGAGGAGTGGGATAGCTAGGTCAAATACTGAGTTTTCCAAGGAATCTCTAAACCTTATGAGAATAAATTGCATAACCTGGTCTCTTTACCTCTAAATACTTCATTGTGTATTTCCTTGGGTGGGTGAGGGGATAGTATTTATTGTTGATATATAGTTATCAGTTTCAGTGAATTTAGCTTTCTTGAAATACTCTAATTTATCATCTCTGTTCCAGTTGCTTCAGTGGATCCAATAATGGCCTTTATGGATTTTTTTTGTCCACTGAAGGATATGATCCAGTTTTGGATCACTTATTGCATTTAGTTGTATTATCTTTTCATTCTCTTTCAGTGTGAAACAATTAGTCTCTCATGACATTGGCCTTTAAAAAAAAACCAAAACTGTCTTTGGTGTGTGTGTGTATATATATAATTTATATAATTTCATCGAGGTTATGCATTCATGGCCAAAAACTATGTAAGTGAGGGTTTTTTTCCCTCAGACTGTCAGTTCTATGGATGCTTGATACTTATGAGCCCATTTTTGTGATATTAATTTAATAACTTGGTCAGTGTCTCCATTGTGTATGTTGTTTTCCCTCTTACTAGTAAGAAATCTATAGAGAGATAAAACCGTTCTCTACCTTATTAATGTTTCACATGTGTACTTAGCTTCCTGTGGTAACTTACCTGACTCTTTTCTGTGATAGTTATGAAATGATTTCCCAGCTCCATCACTCCCTTCACATTTGCCAGTTGGCACTTGTTATGATTCTGAAAACAAGAGCCTTTCCTCTACCTTGTTTCCCACCCCCACTTCATTTGTTATGGATATGGATCCACAGATTTATAGCTTCTTACCATTCCTGGTTATTGTGGTGGTTGTAGTTTTTCAGATTTGACCAGTAGGAGGTCTTCATACTGATTCCTAGTCCTCTTAACACGCATCCATTGCTTTTATTGCCATTTCCTTCTTTATGGCATAGTAAAATATTACAGCCTAATCTTGTCCTTCCACATCCCAGCCCTGGAATTAGCCATTTCTCTGAGGAGCTCTGAGAAACCAAGATGTAGCTACCAGCTATGCTTCTAGGCTTTGCAGATGGAGTTTGAGAGTGTGTGTGTGTGTGTGTGTGTGTGTGTGTGTACATATGTATACATATATATGCATATGGACAGATGGATACATACATAAATGCACATGTGTGCACACATTTGTAACATGTATATGGATGCATGTAAATCCATTTACACTTACCATGTTTTTAGAGATCATGAGAATACACCAAAACCTCTACTTTTAGTCCAACCCTTCAGGATTCTTTACTTTTCTCTAATCTGTGTTTTTCCTTTTTTTCTAGTCAGAATCATCCCTTCTACGAGAATCAAAACTTTTTCTAATTTGTTATTTATTTGATATATAGTGAGGCTTACTTGTTTTACTTTATATCCAACTTTTGTTGTTATTATTTACTTCCCTCTTGAAATTATAAAATGTAAATAACTTGAATGTGTAACATTGAAACCACTGAAAATATATTTTTTTGCAGTGGACCATCTGCTGTTATGAAGTATGACAGAGTTGCAGCATCGTTTTCTTTTGTTTGAAGAGGGTTCCTAATCTTTTGTTGGATCATTTTATGATGGTAGCTTTAAAATTCCTGTCAGATAATTCCAACAACTGAGTTATCCTGGTTCTTAGCATGACAAGTTTTTTTTTTTATTGTTATTTTTTAAATTTTATCCTGGAAATTCTGAATGTTTTAGAATGGGACTTAGAACCTATTTAATTATTATACATAGTAGGAAATCACCTTGTTGGGGTTTAGCCTACTTAGTGGGCTGAGTGTGACAGTTTAGTCTCCAGAGCTTTGCAGTGTTACTCTGGTCTTTGTTTAATTGTAATCTAGAGGCCACT